ATAGATATGTCTATAGGGTCGCCATAATCACTCAGTTACATACATATATATGTGTATATTGATATATTTATGTGGTTATATGTAATAAGTAGCTGCGTATGTTGTCTCCATACATACAAATACATATACATACATATATGTATATATAGAGCGCAAACTATTTTTAGTTGATGTTCAATCTTTTCGCAATTGGTGTGGGGGGCGGGGAAGGGGATATGCGCAGAAGATTGGATGCTTTGGCTCTTTTGGTTGGGGCAGTGCGTGCTGTTGGCTATGCGCCCGCCTTTTGGCTGCTTGTTGCATGAATCACTCCGAATGTGGCCGGGTTTCTAGTTGTTATTTGTTATTGCTGTTGCTCCCGCTGTTGTTGCTGCTGCTGTTGTTGTTGTTGTTGTCGCTAATGTTGTTGCAACTATTTGCACCGCATTTACAAAAATACATTTTATGTTTACGCCAACAAACGGCGACGTTGTCTGCCGCGCTGGCTGTGCTGGCTACGCAGACTGCGAGCTGCGATCTCAGCAGCAACAGCAACAGCAGCAGGAGACGGAAACGCAGGTGGCGACTGGCGACTGCCAACTGAGGAGAGAGGGAGCAGCGGAGCTGTGCAGCTCGGGGAACTGCGAATCGGGGAATCTGGTCACTGAGATTTAGGCAGACGCCGCCATCGCCCCATGCACTCATAATTTTCCAAAAATACTCTTCTCTACGACAATTTACAACTTTCTCTTCTTGTTGCCATATTTTTCAAAAAATGCTGTTTTTCAAATTAAATTAAAAAACTAAAAAAGCCGCAAAAAAAAAAAAAAAATTATTCTGTGGCTATTTTTGAAAATTTGTCGGCTGATTGAATACTTTGATTATGGTTTTTCCTTAATTGCAATTACTCTATGTAGATCTATTAGGATCTATTACAAATAGTCAAATTTAAATCATTAATAAATTGTTTCATTAATAACAAACTTAGGTTATATATAGTTTATATACGGCAGCATTTAAATTGACTTTGTGTATCTATAATTTTCCTTTTTATAAATACTCATATATTAAATGGGCTCATGACATATATTTAATTATTAAATAACAAAACGATTTAGCTACGCATTAATATGCCAACATCATTTCTATCCCACAAAGGTTTCCTCTCCCATAATTTATTGCTGCATTTCTAAACTCTTCACTTACCGGAATCTTTGAAGTGCGTAAAAATTCGAGCAGAGCTTCCAAGGAGCCTAGAGTCGAGGCCTGCACATAGACACCTGATGGAGCTAATTTGATGTGGCTTAAAGCGCTCTTCAGTTCGCGGGCAACTTCCTCTCTGTAAGTAGAAATAAAATACATAAGCGAGTGCACAAATGGATATTACAGACTACAGATATAGCGCTATTACACACTCGGCTATAATAGACGACTATATAAAAATTCGTTTCACCCACTTGCATATTTCGATTTCATCCGGTTTGTGCGCAATAAGCAAATTGATGCCAGCAATTGCCTTCTCCAGATCCTTGGCGGCTATCTTAACACCCTGGGCTGCCTTCACCTCCTTGTATTCCACATAGGCGTTCTTCACACGCAGCTCCTTCATGGGCTGTGGCATGAGCAGTGAGCGAATTTGTGTAACTATCGGTCCATCTGTGCCGGCTAAGATCATGGTCTGACCCTCGCGGAGTCTGCCATTGATCAGAATGGCATCGATGGTGGTGCCCAGACCAGGTATGGCCTTCACTTCCAGCACTGTGGCCTGCAACTCTTCCGAGTACATCAAACGCTTGGCCAACATGTTTTGGCAGAAGTCCGTTATCATGAACAACAAGTTGCCCATACCCTCGCCTGTGATGGCGCTCGTTGGCACTAGGGAGATATAGGTCTTGGGATCTTTGTTCTCATAGAACAAAGCTGCATTCAATCCTTGCTCAGCAAATTGCAGAATTACATCCTTTGTGCGCTGCTCAAACTCCAGCTGAGTATTTGTCTGCTGCTCCTTGATTACATCCCTGACATCGCGACGTGCCAGGACCTTCCAGTCATAGAGACGATCGATCTTGTTGAGGGCCACGATGAAGGGGCACTTCTTCTTCTTCAACAGCTGTATTGACTCAATTGTTTGCGGCTCCAGGCCGTGCATAATATCCACAACCAAAATGGCAATATCACAGAGAGATGAGCCACGATTGCGCAAATTACTGAACGATTCGTGGCCAGGTGTGTCAATGATCAACAAACCGGGCAAGCGATGCTCGAAGTTGGCTGCATTCTTAACATATTTTGTCTGCTCCTTGATGGCATCGATGGGCACATTGGTGGCGCCAATCTGTTGCGTAATGCCACCCGCTTCTGAGTCTTGGACGTGAGTGCGTCGCAACTTGTCCAGAATCTTTGTCTTGCCCGTATCGACATGGCCGAGCACACACACAACGCCCGCTCGCAATTCGTCTGTGGTGCGTTTCTTCTCAGCATCCCCTTGACGTTTGATGATGCGCGCCTCTGCCCGCAAACGTCGCGACTCAGGATCGTTGGCCAACTGAGCATCCTCCTTTTCGGACTCTTCACTCTCCTCCTCCGACTCATCGCTGTCATCATCGGTGTCATCATCATTATTATCGGATTCGCCTTCATCTTGCGGTTCATTTTTGCCGTTGTTAGTGGTTGTTGTGGTTGCTTGGGAAGATTCCTCCTCTGGCTCTGCCTCGCTGTCTGTAGCATCCCAGCTCTCTTTAACCACCTCCTCCTTGACCGCCTGCTCAACAGCTGCTGCAGCAGCGGCCGCGGTTTCGGCTGCCTTTTGCGCGTCATCCTTGGACTCACCCGCGCCTTCATCCTTGGGCGCTTTCTTCTTGTTGGGACGAATGCGTGTGCCTGAAAGGTATTTAAGATTATTGACTACACTATTCTTCTAACGTCACAAGCTCACCTGGCCTTGTCGGACGCTTGTCATTTGGATCAGGTATTTCCAAGCCCTGCGCCTTGAGTGATTCGAGTAGCGCCTGTGCTCGAGCACGATCTTCTTTCTGCTTTTTGGTCAGAAGTTTGCCTTCGGCTTTTAGACGAGCCTTGCGTTCGGCCTCCTTTTGCTTTTTCTTCTCCTTGCGTTCAGCTTCTATACGTAGAGCCTCCAGACGAGCCTCTTCGCGCTCTTCTTCGAGGCGAATGCGCTCTTCCTCAAGTTTTTGCAAGCGCTCCTCTTCCTCTTTGCGCTTCTTGAGCTGTTCCTGCATAGCAGCCACAATCGCAGCAGACATGCCCTTCTTCTTGGTGTCCTTTTTCTCTTCCTCGGCCTCAGCTTTCTTATCCTTTTTGCCTTTTTTCTTGCCCTTACCCGTTTTGGAAGTATCTTCCGAAGCTTCTTCAGCTTCGGCCTCAACCTCAGGCGCTGCCTCCTCAGACTGAGGCTCAGATTCAGGCTCGGGCTCTGGCGGTGCCACTGGAGCTGCCGCTGGCTTTTGCTTCTGCTCTAAGGCTGCTCGCTGTTTAGCTAGCGCCGCCTCTCTCTTTTGTCGCTCCTTTTTCTCTTTCTTCTTTTGAGCTGCTGTCTTTATGCCGCTTCCTCCCTCTTCATCATTCTCATCATCTTCGGCTTCAGCTTCGACAGCTGTTGCTGATGCTGCTGGTGCTTGCTTTTTGCCCTTCTTCGACTTCTTGTTGAGATCTTCCTGCTCAGGCTCAGATGCTACTGCTGCTGGTGCTTCTCCTGCATATTCTGCCTGTAGTGCCGCTAGCATCTTATCCAAATCCTCGTCATCATCTTTACCCTTGCGCTTTGCCTTTTTGCCCTTCTTTTCATTCTTTTTCTGTGGCTTAGCAACCACCTCTTCCTCCTCCTCGTCGGGTGAGTCTTGTGCAGCTGGCGGTTCGTCATCATCCTCGTCGTCCATCAATAAATTGAAAGCCGACTTCTTGGCGGGCTTCAGATCGGGCGCCTCATCAGCGGAGTCTTCATCCAAATTTTTTGACTTGGCCTTGCCTTTACCCTTCACACTCAACTTTTTGACAGCCTTTGTAATGGTCTCTACTGGCGCATCATCCATGATGTCGCTGCCCTCATCCGAAGCATTGGCATTTTTGTTGTTCTTCTTCTTGTTCTTGCCCTTCTGCTGGTTTTTCTTGTTGTTAGCACTCACTTGATCGTTGTCCGATCCTAGGACTGCGGTTTCACTAAACGGTAAGGATAATACGATTTGTTTTTAATAGGAACTTTGCCAACGTTGCCATCGTGGCAACAATATCAACAACAAAATCAATGGGAATGGGGAAATCGTACTTACTTTTCGTCTGCCGATGAAGCACCCTCGACGTTGGTCAATATCTCTTTCTTGCCCTTTTTAGCTTTAACCATCTTTCCTGTCGTAGTCTCAACACGCTTCTTCTCTGAGCACCCACGAAACGCCGAAATGAATTCACTATTAAAAATCTAAAACACGACGCAGAGGTAAACGAAGGCAACAACGACGACAACCACGAGTGTCTGTATCCTGGTGTTACACCCAAAATGAGTATCAGCTGCTGTTCGGTCTGCTCCCGTTTCACACAAGTTGAATCCTCTGCTGGGCGTTAAATTCACAATTTCTATGCTTCGCAGAATAAAAGTTTATGAATTTTTCTTTGCACGCCGATTTGGTTAGCGAACACGGTGCACCTGTGATAGGGGTGAGCAAATGGACAATTTTTACATCGATAGTTTGTTTACTATCGATAGTTGAAATATTAGTGGTATTTGCTGCGGCAACAATAGAAATTTAAACTTCTAAAATGTAAGCTGAAATCGTTTTTTAATAATTTAATATGTAAAAGGTAAACCTTGGAAATTCAATCGCGCTAGTTCAACATATGGACACATATTACTCTTTTTTATTTTATTTTTTATTTACACAATATATCGCACATAGATCTTATTGCACGACTGTTATTAACATTACATGAAACTGTTGTCTTTGAGTGCCATGAACATATGTTTTACATTTTGTGGATTATGTTTACGTTTTTGGTGATGTGGGACGCGTTCCGACAGTTTAGTCTGGAACTTCGAAGTTTGCAAACGCCGGCTCTAGTTTTCCGCGAAGAACGTAAAAGAGAAAGCATAAATTAAGCATATTTAACGCATTTTCAGGTAAGTTGTTAATATTAAGTATAAAATTTTTAGACTTACATATGTATAAGAAGTTAATTGTTAAGGGTAATGGTTGCTCTCTTTGTTATGAAATTGCAGCGCAAGGCATTTTTCCTGTATTTGCAAAGTGCCCTATAGGATTATGTCGATTATGTCCGGCGACGCAACAGGCATTAACGAGAGCAACAATACAGCCAGCATTTCGGAAGGCAGCAGCAATAGTGCTGAGGTCTGTTGAAATTTAAAGCCTTTTGCTCTTCAGATTTGTGTATACGAATTAGAACTTCATGTTTTTCAATCCTCTCCCTCTCTCTCTCTCTATCTGTCTATCTCTCTTCCCCACCGCTATTCAGATCAAGAAGCTCGACAGCCAGCCTACAAATAAAGTTATTTCGTTGATAACAA